ACCACTGTTGCCTTTATTTAGTGAATGAAATATGTAACATACAAGGGAAAACCATTGAAAAGTTATTCAACTACCTTTAATTGTTATCATTTGTTAACACGATATCATAAACACCCAACTTTTAAAAGATTTCATTCACCTTTATGTTTCAGATGTACTTCCTTGTTGTGTTGCTATAAGTTTCAAAAAGGTAATGACAATGGATACAGATATGCTGGGGATTATCCTATTTCCTTTTTTTATAGATAAGTATGTGAATAGTAAGTAAAGTATTTGTTTACTATCATTCAATATGATATTGTCAAACATGTGTCTTTATTGAACATAGTGCACTAACTTTATTTATGCTGCTATATTTGAAAAAATAACAAACAATCTTTTACGTATATTTTTTAAACAGGATATAAAGTGTAGCTCTCGCGAGTGAAACTCTTTAGGTGGGTTATTGATTATATTTCTTTAATTCCAGGTTTATATTTCTTGTTTCCAAAAGGATAATTTAAAAAAAAATCATCAAAATAATTACAAGGGAAATACAAGGTATATTAAATATCAATGACAATATATACGGAAATATTTCTTCCTATTGTAAATAACTGAACAATTGATAATTGTCTGTCATATTCATAAACTACAAAAATAATATAAATCATGTCTTTACGTATTCGGTGTATTTTAATTACATCACATCATCGTTTGTGGCAATTAAGAATTGAACATTTATTGTTTTCCCTATAATTGTTATTTGTACCCCTATATGCTGATGTACTTCTGTATTTCTACATCACCTTGATCACAGATCATAAAAAATCAACTGTCCACAATTAACTATGTCTTAGGATTACTTATATGTGTATGCACTGTTAAAACATAAATCTAGTAATTTACGTCTTTTGCAAACCTATGTGTACTAAAACGTGACCTATTATGAATTGGCTTTTGATTACAAATATCGTACACTTAATGTAATCGTTCTTACTGATAGCGTTAATAGTTTCAAAAATATGTGTACTAAGGACTATAATCGTACACCATCAGATAAGATAATTACACATAACGTTAAAACTATAAACATGCCTTATCTAAATGCTAAATATTACGCTACAGATGTGTTAAACATATTTTTGCCGCTTTCTTATATGTATGTCAAGCTACATTTGTTAAGCTATTAAACTTAAATACGGTTCACTAGGCTATAAAACATAAACAATGAAAAAAAAACCATTGACCAACCATTTTTATATCTTGGAGGGGCCTTGTATTTTAGTTCGGGCATACCTTTTTTCACGGTGACTCGGATGTTATTCGTTAATTTTGTTAAAAAACTTGATAAAAGTAAAAAAGAGACAAAAAACTGAATACTGAGGCACTAGAAAATATTGACAGGTTACCAAACAATTTTTTTTCCAGGAATTTTTTGATAAACTTTTATGAAAAGATTTTCTCATTATTATTAGATATACATGTGCAACAGACATGTCATATCAGAAAATCTCCAATCCCGGATTTTGTCTGCTTTACATACGCCATACCAAAACCAAAACCAACCCTAAAATATCAAACATTTCTTCACGCAATTTAAAGATACTTTGAAAAACCACGACTAAAGCTTGACTAAATAGTTATTAAAATAAGGACAATCATTACGTGATGCATTTTATCATTCACTCCCGATTCTAATGGTAAAACAATGATTTCAAATGTAAATATATGTATTGAAATAGAGAAAAACTTGTTTCGACATATCTCTAAGTAAATTGTTAAGTAGAAAAAAGGAATAACAAAATGTTATAAACAGTGATTGTTTTTTCATCATATTGGAAGAGAAAGTCTTTTTTTACATTGTTTTATTCTAGAAAATAGTTTTTCATATGATCATGCATATCATACAGAGCAAAAACAACTGGAAAGCTGCTTCTGATGAATGTGACAGTAATGGTTTAGAATTTGAAGAAAACGTGTTGAAGAATATTGGCGAATAAGGAATTCTGGATTGTCAAGGCCATTTACCGTGTAATTACACCGTGGATTGAAATTCTCGGTAAGTAAAAGGTTAAATCCGATTGCAGATTAATCCAGATAATGTTAAATTCTAAAATGATGAATTTTTTTATACATTTTTTTTTTCAATTTATCAAATGCTTTTGCTCAGTTCATCGAAAGCTTAAGATAAAACACATTTGGTTTACCAAGATCATACGTCCAATAATAGAGAAAATACAATTATGTTTACAAATGATTTCTTTACAACTTGACATTATTTATATAAATTTTTAAAAATCATTTTAATTCTTTGTTAGAACCCAAAGGGTATTACCTCCTGGTAAAGACGGAGAACAAATGTAATCATAATTCCTGGCATGAACATACAAATAAGTGAAATAATATCGTAAACTTTTTGCTTATTTTGACACTTGAATAGCGGAAGTACCTTGTCATTAGTTTTTTATTCAATAAAAAATTAGCAGTATGTGTTATACTGCTTAATATATACATGTCATAATATAAGTGCGATATCATATAATTGAATGCTTTGTTACAAGCATTAATATCTCATGTTTTTCATGGTTTATTTGACGGAATTATCTTTGGTATGTTATTTTTTTTCAAAACAGGTTGCTCTTCAGTGCCAGACGGAGAGGAAGTCAAAAAGAATCCTTCGATTGTATTATGCCAATGTGAATCATATCAGTTTTTGGTAACAGTGTAAGTATTTCTGTAAATGTGAATTTCTGGTTACTTTTTCATATTTCTTTCCAATACTTTATAACAGAAAAAAGCAACAAGACGAAGAAATGCAAACCACATCAAAATGTAGAAAAACTTTTACAAAAATGTTAAAAATAGCAAAAACAATGGCTAATCAATATGTCCCTTTTAAACTTTGGTATAAGTAAGCCTGAAAGGCATTTTACAAAATGCGTGAAATTATTTTATGAGATTATTTTATTTGAAACTGAACCACTGCAAGTATTGAACAACAAATTAGTAATTATCGAATTTTAACGCCTGCATTTTAAGAATCTAATTAATTAAGAATAAATTCTTCTGTATTATTCAAAATTCCAAGCACTGGACTAATTTAAACTCTGGCCATGACACATTTAGCTCTGTCAATAGTTTTGCTGATAAAAAAATTCCAATGTTCGAAACATGGTGTTTTGCAAACAGCACACATATGAGTGCTTTCTATCTCATGTGTTCCGAAAAGATTCAAAGACACATTGTCATGGGTAGGCGGACCACATCCTTTTGTTTATCAGATCATTTCAAAGGCTGTAGCAGATCTTCGAATGTTCGCGATGCATGCATAGCAGGAGACACTCGTCCTGTTGCATGAAACTTGCTTATTACTGACAATAATTTCATTCAAAATCATCTATTTTAATCACGTGCACCTCAAAAAAACAATAGCTAAACCTATCCTTTTCATCAAAATATGGAAACCATGCGTGCCTACTATTAATTATTTTTTGGATCTAATGTATTTATACTTTACTAAAGAATCGATTAGGAAAGTGTTTATGAATCGACTTAATTTTCCATCAATAGGTCAAATACGTTAATATACGAACTTGCTTTTCTTGTGAATAAATAACGTTTTAAATTTGAAAACAAATGAAATAAGATATGTATACGTATAAACGCATACAGTGTATATTAACTATAATCTTTGCCCCTATGGTTATTTTAGATAACCATAAATATAGTTTTAACATAAATATTCAATATATGTAAATAATTCACAACATAAACCAAGTTTAAGGCTCAAAACTCTTAAAGATCACTGCAAATGTATTCCACCCTTCTATGTTTTAGTAACATAAAATATTTCAATTCTCTTTCATTATGAATGCCTAAGAAGCACTGCTGAAATTGGTTGAATAGAACTTCAAATATCTTAAAGGCAAAATTCAAAGGAGACGGTTTGATAAGACTACTTGATTTCAAAAATTAAAAAAATATAATGAATCTACCAAATAACATCCTTCGGGTCTTTATAAAGCATTAACTTAAACGATTTCATTGTTTATAGTTTATAATGTTGCCTTACATATTTGCATAAAGACTTCTAACTTCTTTAATTTAAAGCAAAACTGCAATAACACCTAAATAGGCACAGATATGTCGCTACTAAAAAAAACGTAATATAATAAAAATACCGAAATCCAAGGGAAATTCAAAACGGAAAGTCCTTTATAAAATGGCAAAATTAAAAGCTCAACTAGCTAATCCTTTTACTTGTATGACACTCCCATAGAATTCAATTATATTGACAAAATGTATATTACAAAGGTTCTAATATGTGTTAATATTTTCGGGTAAGGCTGTTGCTAATATATTATTACAAAAATATATCTGTAAGATGACCGTTTCTTGTCAAATATGTCAATTTTGATAAATGTGTGACACCTTAAGTGACCATTACGCAATAAAGTGTCCAGATTATATTACCCTAATCATTTGCCAAATGAAGTAACACCATTTTGAAAGTCTAGCATGTTTTTTTCTTTTTCTACAAGTACAGGAGCCAACTGATTACCGCCTTCTGGCAAGTTTAATTGGTTCCGAATTTAACAAGGAGGTAACTTTACCTGTGACCTTGTTAAAAGTCCAACTGTAGATTTCCCTTTCACTCCTTATCGAACCTCAACTTTAAGTGATGGTTAGGATCGTTAAATTCCGTCTACGACACGACCAAATGAAAGGTTTTAGTATATAAGCAATGCATACAAAATAAAATCTAATTTAAAAAAAAAGAAATTGGCCCATAATTTGTTTAACAGGAGAGCATACTGCTATGAAATACATTTATATATGCGTCCAAGCGCCTTGACAATGATCAAACAGTATAACAGTATACAATTATTGGGAGATCAAAATTGATTTGATAGCTAACTTCGTTTGAGTTAAATTAAAATGATTTCAACGTAATAAATTTCACTTTTATTAGTTTATGCTTCAGTAGTCTCAGTGAAAAATTATGTAACATACATGAGAAAACCACTGAAACGTTATTCACTTCCTTTAGGCGTTATTCAATTAATAAACACGAAATCCTAAACTACCGACATCTAAAAGATTTGATCTACTTTCGTCTACCAGATCTACTTCCTTGTTTTGTCGCTGGAGGTTTGTTAAAAAGGGTAAAGAAAATCAATGAAAAAATGCTGTGGGTTGTCGTTTTTGTTTTTGTTATAGACACAAAATGTGTGATTGGTAAGTAGGAAATACGTGTTACTATCAATTCAACATCATATGCCTGTATATCAAAATAATACTCTGATCTTTATTTATAATGCTAATGATATGGGTGAAATATTTGAAACATCTTTTACGTGTATTATCAAAATATGTTAAATAGAAGTTTTGCTTTCGTGAGTGAAAATATCCAGGCGGAAAATTTACTTTATTTCATGAATTCCGGGTTTTATTAATCTTGTTTCCGAAAACTAACTGATAGATACAGGAATATGTTTAAACCTAATAAAATGGTTATATATCAGTCCATTTTTTATTACTGAGCGAAGGATATTTTTAAAGCCCTTTTCAACCAAATAATAAAGGTAAACACCAGGTATATTAAAAATCAGTGATAATATATACGGCAATATTTCTTCCTATTATTAATAACTTAACAATTGATAACTATGTCATATCCATGAACTGAAAAAAGAATACTAATAATTTCCTGACGTATTCTGTGCCGCTTGGCTACAACACATCATCGTTTTTTGAAAATTGACAAACCAAACGTTTATTGCTTTTCCTGTAATTGTTATTAAACTTTGTTCCTAGATGCTGATGATTTTTTGTATGGCTAAATCACAATAATAAAAATACAAATTTTCACATTTCATCATGTCTAAGGATTACATATATGTGTATTCGCTGATAGAATATAACTCTGCTGCAACCCTATATGTACAAAAACGCTACCTATTATAAATTCGCTTTTCATTACAAATAGTGACACTAAATGAATTTATTCTCACGCATAGCGTCGATAGTGTCAACGCTATTTGTACCAATCATCACTCTTAGCGTACGCCATCTGTTATAATAATTACACATAACGTTAAATTTATAAGAATGCCCTTTTTCAAATGCTTAATATTGCGTTATGTTTTAAACATATTTTTACCGCTTTCTTTAATGTTACAATTACTGAATTTAAGCTTTTACCCCTTAATGCAGTTCACTGGACTACATAGCATGGCCAGGTAAAAAAAGTTTTGATCAACTTTTGTTATATCTAAGAGGGGCCTTGGGTTTTAGTTTTGGTATACATTTTTCTCTGAATCCATTCGTTGATTTTGTTTAACATTTGATATAGGGAAAAAAGAGAAAATAACTGGACATGATTGAGGCCCAGGAAAATATTGACAGGAGACCAAACAATTTTTGCCAGAAAACTTTCTTGGTCCATTTTTATGAGATGATTTTCTCATTATTATGTGATATACAGATGAAACAAATATCCCGGATTTTGTCTGCTCAAGACACCCCAAACCAAAACCCAAACCCACCCCAAATTTAAACCTTTCTTCACGCAATTTAAAGATTCTATGAAAAACCACGACTAAAATTTGACTAAATAAGTAGTCAAAGTAAGGACACTCATTACATGTTGCATTTTATAATTCACTCCCGATTCGTATGGAAAAGTGAATGTATGTATTGAAACTTGTTTCGACATTTCTCTAAGTTAATTATAAATTAGAAAAAAAAAGAATAACAAAATCTTATAAACAGTGATTGTTTTAGCGTTTTAGCATTTAGAGTAGTCTTTTTTACATTGTTTTATTCTAGCAAATAGTTTTTCATATGATCAAGCATATCATACAGAACAAAAAGCCTGGAAAGCTGCTTCTGATGAATGCGGCAGTACTGGATTAGAGTTTGAAGAAAACGTGTTGAAGAATATTGACGTGCAGTTGGATAAGGTATTCTGGATCGGCTTGGCTATCTACCGTGTAACTACACCATGGATTGAAATTTTGGGTACGTGAAAGGAAAAATTTGTTTGAAGAATAATTAGAGCATGTTACATTTCAAAATTATGAACTTGCAGAGTAACGTGCATAATTTCAAACAAATAAAATGTTATTTTTTTCAATTAATGTAATGCTAAGTGCATCTAACGCTTTATAATAAATGTAATAATCCAAGCTCAAACTTCTAATCATGGAGAAAATAAAGTTATGTTTTCAAATGAAACTCTGGACAATGAGAACTATAATTCCTAGCATGAAATACAAATTAGTGCAACAATATCATAAACATATGTATATTATTTTTTATTATTTGCTTATTTTGACAGTAAGACAGCGAAGGTTGATTAACATGTTCTATTAAAATCAAGTCATACATTAATCGTATTTTTTTTTATACTGTATGTTTCCATCTACATGTCTTGTAAATTAGATGTGTCTTTGGGTTTGTTGTTGTCTCATATACTCCAAATAAAACAAACCGGTGTGAACAAAGTATTTTCCGGTCATCGTAATTATTTAACCTGTTTTTTACCCTGTCAATGTATGTTTGTCTGCTATTTGGTCGAGTTGTTGTCTCTTTGACATATTCCCCATTTCCATTCTCAATTTTATTATATTAATCATAATGAGCAACTTAGTGTCATAATTTATTTACTTAATATTCAAAGACATTTTTTATATAACATGTACATAAGCAGAGATAATCTCAGAGGTCAACAATGTTTTAAACCAAATATCAGCTTAAGTTTGTTTGTTTGTTTTGTTTTCTTCATTAAGCTATTTGTAACATGTTTGGGGGTGGTGGTAAGGGGATAGAACAACAAATGTCTATAATATACTAATAAACATGTCTCTGAAAGGCACCTAATATTTCCCCCTTATATAAAAATATACTTTGCTTATGTCTTCAAGGGAATTGCTTGTATCAAAATCAAACGTCAAGCGATAGCATTGAATGTTAAAAATTTAAAATCACAGATGTACCTATTTTCAATTCTCCTTTCTTAACCACAATTATATTCAGTTCATATTTTTCATTCAAAATATAAATGCGATATTATATCTGTCATTGAATTATTTTCTACAATCTACAATCATGATTTGTACATGCTGTTAATGTCTGAATTTAACGGAATTACCTTTTTGAAGTTTACTCTATTATAAACAGGTTGCTTTGCAGTACCAGATGGGCAGGAAGTAAAGAAAAGTCATTCATTGTTATTATGTCAGAAACAATGTGAATCATATCAGTTATTTGGTTACAGTGTAAGTATTGATTTTATGTTTGAGTTTTCATTTTCAAATTCAAACAGTGGCATTGCAAACTCAAGTCTAATCTATAAGTTTATTTTTTATGAATTTCCCGTATAAACTTGTTAATGAAATACAGCAGCCATTATTAGGGTTAATTTCTGCATGATTTTTTCTGAGTGTTTTTCTTTTATGTACTTACTGTAAACGTACTCAAGATTTAAAGGGGATGTTTGCTATTTGAAGGAACTAGTTCAACCCTTGCACATATTCAGTTGACATCTATATTTGGTTTGCTTGGTTGCTGTCTAATTTACAAAAGCTCTCCATTAGATAACTTGAAATGTCAAAAGATGGAAAATCAACCGTAATGAAAATCAATTCCTTTGAACACTACACAAAAAAACAAGTTCCCAATAACTTATTTGTAATTCTAAAATAAAATTGAGAATAGAAATGGGGAATATGTCAAAGAGTCAACAACCCGACCAAAGAGCAGACAACAGCCAAAGGCCACCAATGGGTCTTCAACGCAGCGAGACTATCCCGCACCCGGAGGTTGTCCTCAGCTGGCCCCTAAATAAAATTGTGTACTAGTTCAGTGAAATTGGATGTCACACTAAACTCCAAAACATATAAATGAACTCAAATTAAAACACGTACAAGACTAACAAAGGCCAGAGGCTCCTGACTTGGGACAGGCGCAAAAACGCGGCGGTGTTTAACATGTTTTGTGAGATCTCAACCCTCCCCCTATATCTCTAACCAATGTAGAATAAAGAAACACATAGCAATACGCACAGTAAAACTCAGTTTAAAAGGAGTCCGAGTCCAATTTCAGAATAGGTAACAAAAGAAACTAAGCAAAATGACAATGATACAGAAATGAAAAAAGGACTACTAGCAGTTACTGACATGCCAGCTCCAAACCTCAATTTAACTGATTGAAAGATTATGTCTTCTTCATATCAAGTACAATCCCTCCCGTTAGGGGTTTAGTATCATACCATCATAAAATATATGAGAAGAACATAACCCGTATCATGCCAACAACTGGTTTTAGAATAAATGTGTTTATTTCAGATGCAAAGACCCTATGAGTGAATCAATATTAATACCAAAATATGCAATCCTTAATGACTTGACAACAGTATCGTAACTATACCTGTCTTTATTTTCTATAAGCATGGTGTAAAACGGAAATAAATTGTCGATCGTTCACTCTAAATTTGGTTCAATTTTCAAGGAGATGAAGGCCCTCTACAAAAATTAAATTATATAATGAAAATATAAGCTGATATATCATCACAACAGTCTATACCTAGCTTTGTGATAGACAAACAAATAAAAATGTCAATCAAGTTGACTTGCTTTCACAAACAAACTTAAATTAATGAATCAAATGTATGCTGATAAACAAATGTATGTGCCTGTCTCAAATAAGGATTATGTGGTTACCTTTTGTTGCTGGTTCTTGACTTAGTGTCGATTCTACACTACTGACTTCTTAATTTCTTTATTTAAATTTTTCACGGTTTGAAAAATTGTTATTTATTAGCTTACTGTTATGTTTGGATTTATTCATATAACATATATAATTACCTGTATTTGTTCACATTTTCGTTTTTTTTTATCTTATAATGAAAGTGGCCTCTTTGACAATTGAAATACATGTACCAACAACATCTCATCAAACTTATTCGTGTAAATAAAATTGAGAATGGAAATGGGGAATGTGTCAAAGAGACAACAACCCGCCCATAGAACAGACAACAGCAGAAGGTCACCAACAGGTCTTCAATGCAGCGAGAAATTCCCGCACCCGGAGGCGTCCTTCAGCTGGCCCCTAAACAAATATATATACTAGTTCAGTGATACTTTTGAATTTATTGGGTCTTTTAAAACGATACAGATGTTGTTGAGTGCGTTTAGATAAATATCGTCCAGTTTCACCTACGTACTGAATACCGCATCCCGGTTTGTATGTTTGACATTTAAATATCTTAGTTCAGTTTTAAACTTATCTAATTTGTCTCGACTGGTAGAATATGTTTCAGACTAAACAGCTTTCTTTTGACTAGTTATCTAATATTTTTTTTTTTAATCATAACTTTCAATTTCAGAATTTGAACTTATAACCTTCTATCTTGAAATTCAAATTCAAATATCAAAGCTCTGATTTTAAACTCAAATGATATTTCTGGGCTTTCCTATATTTTTTTAATACAGTATTTCATTATCCTTATAGGAGTCATCAGCAATTTGTTCCTGTCTACATAATAGAAGTAGCTCATACAGTATAAAGAATTGTATAGAACAAAATAATTCAACATATTTCTTCGTTTATAAAGGTAGATACAATTCATTGTAAAGTACACATTTTTTCATCTTAACTTATTTCAAAGAACAAATCTTAAATATAATCGTGTTACAATTAAAGCTACTAGAAGATGCCCGCGAAATCGCGGTACAATTGGTCAAGTGTTGAAACAAAGAGTGTCAAGGGTGCCTGTGTTTACACATAAAAAGGATGAATTCGACACGTTCAACGCCCATTTTATTTTTTGACGTTTCTGCACCTGAGTAAAAAGGGTGGATGTCGTTTAATTTAGCAAAATGATGCACTTACAATACAATACAGGATACTTATAGGCATAACTGTCCTATTTTCTTTCCTTTCTTTTTACTTTCACTTGGATTTCGTGGGTAGTATGTGGTCTGAGCATGCACAAAAGTGTATAAGACACGGATCAATAACGGTCTCCGAATTTGGATATTTTTTCAAAAATTGGCGTTTTCTGTGGAAAAAAGATTGTTTCAAAGACAAATTTAGGAAGTACAAAACACTACATTTATACGTCATATCATAAATATTTCCGACTTTGTATGGTTTCAGAGGAGTTTCGGCTCAATGAAATCGGTCTCTTCCTTTAGTAGTATACATAAGGAAAAATATCATATCATCTTTATTTAGTACATACTTTTGAAAATAGTGAAATGTAACTTTTCTTATAAAAATGCAAATGTACTTTTATGCAGTTGCGATATATGATTTAAAACATTACATTCCAATTCATAAATATAGATAAATACAGCCATATACTCGCATTATCTTTGATTTGATGACCTGCATTGTTCTATCTACTGATTGCTTTCTTTTACTTTTTACATTTGCCTACACAGCGGATATAAACGAAGAAGATGTAATTGCCAATGATACAACTATCCACCTGGCACCAAATCGCGTATATGTTAGCGTTGGATACCCTTCTTCAGATGTTATTTTACGTTGTATAATTATATAGATTTATTTGTATAATGCTTTGACATTTATATTTTTTAATGATTTTTGTAACATTTAACCACATTTAGTATTCATTTAGTGGGAATGTTTCTGGTAATGACAATGGTACATGTACCACTTTATACTGTCTTGGTGGCAACAATGGACTTACAGCAGCTAACTGTAATGATGAAAATACGGGAACGGCCAGTATATGTAGTAAATATCATTTATTATGTGAATTAATAAAATTTTGTCGATCAATACTAAAAATACTCAAATTAAATCGATTGCTTATAACTTTGTGAAGCTGTGTTAAGTGATCCCTTTAATAGAAATTTATTTTTCATTAATATAGTATTTAAGAATTCTTATTGTATTTTCATGTACCATCTCTCTTCTTTTCATCTCTTCCAAGATAACGGGTCCGTAGTCGGTTGGGGTATACCGTATTCAACAAGCAAACAAATGTGCCTGGAAAGTTATCAGCTTTTGCTGCCACCTGAAACTTATTGCCAATTGAATGGTCATGAAAACGAAGCAAAACATTCCTGGACAAATGTTTTTCGAGCGGAAACCGAAGCTAAGCTGACACAAGGTAAATAAATAAATACTCGCAAAGTTTACGGTTTCTGTAAACCAATTTATTCTCGCGATTTTTTTACGATTTGAAAATTAACTTGATGTAGGTTTATAAGGAAAGATCCAAGTTTTACATATTTGTGACGATTTATTTTCGAGTTATTTTTTCAACCTGCGAAAGTCGCAAAATAGATCGCTCGCGTCTAAGTGTCTGAGCAGAAAGTTGATGAACCAGGGGTAGTTCAAAGAACGTCTCGTCCGTTTTCTCAAAAAGTTCATCGGAAGGTACCAAGACCTTGTTGATAAATATTCCGTATCAACTTCACAAATAATACACGATGGTCTTGAAGTATAGATTCTGCGTACTGACGTTGTTTATTATCTTAATAACGTGTTATAGTATTCTTTTATTTGTCTTTATTGATATTACTTTTACTGTTAAGTCTGTTTTTTGTGATATCCATTTGAAGTTACTCTGTACTTATGTATCCCGTCATACTTTGAACGACAAAATTATTTTATTTTATTAATATTACTTTTACTGTTAAGTCTGTTTTTTGTGATATCCATTTGACGTGACTCTGTACTTATGTATCCCGTCATACTTTGAACGACAAAATTAGTTTGTATCTACCTGTGTGACGTCAAATACGCCAGTACGTAAAACCTTCCATCCTGTATAAATAGATAAATAAAATCGTATAATAAAAAAGCAAAATGAGGATGCTAAATTTGATGTATGCCTTTTTGTGCTTCTTTGTTACATTTGTTTGTTTTTATAGTGATTAAGATGATAACACAATGTTGACTGCTGTACCCCTATTTTTGACATTTTTACCTATTGTGTATGTTTGTTTTGTTCACTCACGCATCGTTGTCAATATAATGGAATTTGATGCGACTGTCATACAAGTGAGAGGTTTTGCTAGCTTTAAAACCAGGTTCGATCCACCATTTTCTACATAAGAAAATGCCAGTCCAAGTCAGGAATATGACAGTTGTTATCCATTCGTTTGATGTGTTTGAGCTTTTGATTTTGCCATTTGATTAGGGACTTTCCTTTTTGAATTTTCCTCGGAGATTAGTATTTTTGTGATTTTACTTTTTTTTCGATTCTCTTATCTTTTTAAGATAAAGATAAGGAAAACATACTATCAAAGGAAAACTTCACAAGTTTTTAACGTTGTTAAGGTTTTAGCTCCACCATTTTAAGTAGTTGCATGGTTTAAAAAAGTTGTATAGCTGATATATAGCGACTCTGACAAGCAATGACAGTTACGTTATGTTCAGTAAGCTAACGATAATAGTGATATACTACATCCAAATGTGTTAATCGACACATCTTCAATTCAAAATACGCTTCTGATCTGTTGCGATCTGCCTACCAATCAGAAGCACCAGTGATCACTTTAATTGTTTGTTGGGGTTCGTATTGCTAAGTCTTTTATTTCCTATGTGGCGTTATGTGGAATTGTTTGTTTTTTTTCGTCGTATTTTTTGCCATTGCGTTGTTAGTTTATTTTCAACGTAAGGGTTTTCATATTTCCCTATATATCTTTCTCCTTTCTTTGGGGCAAAGAATTTTAGGTTCAGAAATATCCCATTTTATGTTATCGAGTTTATTACGAAAAGTCAGAGGATTAAAGGTTAACAAAACGTTTGAAGACTGAATGATCATTCTTGAGGCTTTACAGGTGAATACAGAAAATGACGCGTTTGTTTTCACTAACAAATAAAAAAGTTATCTTTGGAAACAAAACAGACTAAGCAACAAAGGAACACATTCATTGTATTATGCGCTACATTTGAAAATAAAGGTATTTAATTGTAATAAATACTCATAATTGGTAGAAGTATAGGTTCCGTGTTTAAAGATAGTAACTGTTGGACCCAAAATCTTGGACGCATCAGCAAAATAAGCAACTTGAAGACACACTATAGGAAACAGTATACACCTTTTCCAGTTTCTGAAAAAATTGTTACTTAAAGCAAACAGGATATATCAGTTGAAAATATTTATATGTTCAGAATTATTTCACTGATCCTCCATCATCATAATTGTAATGTCAACCGACCTCATCAAAGCCAACGCCATTTGTTCATTTCAATTTCTGATTGCTAGAAAGCTTTTATACGTGAACAGTTTAATAACAACTTGTGAATTATTTAAATTAATCACTACAACATAATAATTTACAATCATACAATCATAAGGAATACCTACAATATAATTCCCTAAATTTGCTTTCTTCATTATTAACGTGTAAATATATATAAGAGATTCAGTTTCTATAGTTTTTGTATGATAATAACTGAATATGTAAATATTGCTTACCCATGTAAAGCAGTATTTGTAAGTGTTGGAAAAGGCGCTTTGTCTAATTCCTTATTTATACTTGCGCAATAACATATGTTCAATTTATGCTTGATTAATAATACTTTAAGATTACATTTTTAAGTAATATATATGTCAAACCATTAATTCATTTCCAGTCGAAGCAGGTACCAAAGAACCACTTTACTGTTTAGCAGGCTCGTTTACAGAAAATAATGAAAAAAGAGAACTTAATATTACCAGAAGATTTTGCAATGACCAGTTAAATTATTTTGTGTGCAGAACAGGTATATAAGTCACGTATTTACTAGTTCAATACATTGTCATATATACCAGAATAAAAAATAAAGGCAACAATAGTATACCCTGTTCAATAGTCATAATTCGATTAAGCAAAAACAATTCCAGGTAACAAAACTAAAACCGAGGGAAACACATCAACTATAAGAGGGAAAAAACGGAACAACAGAAACAACTACAATAAAAGCAAATACCAACATACAGAGAAACGGACTGTCTGATAACAACTGCCATATTCCTGACTTAGTACAGGACATTTTAAGAAAAAAAAGGTGGATTGAACCTGGTTTTATGGCTAGCCAAGCCTCCCGCTTATATGGCAATGTTAAAAATACCGCTAAAATGACAACACTATGTAACAGTACAAACAAACGCAAGAACACTCCGCATAAAGAAATACACAAATAAATGATATTATAGAGCATTACAACATGTAAACCGCAGAATATCAACGGACACCTCCCATGAATTTACGACAGCACACCAGGACATCACAAACGAAATATGAACTGCGCGTCACATGAATAAATCAACGTCACAAAAAGTGACGTATGTTTTTGTAAAACAAAAACATTGTATATGGGCCAATATGCGCATTTAATTCCGCTATGAAGTAGTAGTAGAATTGTCTTCATTCCCTCTGTCTATATCGTAAATGTGGTTAATTGCATGTATGATAGCTTGTGTCAAAGGTGAGGCATTTTCACATTAAAAGTTGTTCGGAGAACCATATGCAATTATTATTTCCATAATTTAAAGCAACACAAAGAGCACTTAATTAAATGGGTTCACATGGTAGAAGTTCAATTTAATTAACATATTTTAAATGAAATTATGGCAATTTTTTCTATTGGAACCCATTGTGTTCCACTATATTTCAGGTACAGCTTCTTCAACAACTTCAAAGCAAAGTTTAAATGCCGTAGAGATACCAGAGAAGGTTTCAAGCACGAAACGAACGTCTGGTGTACAAAATTTTGAGCCTGGTATCTATTATGAGTTAATTTTCATATAAGTATCGTGTTTTTTTTTTACTTGGTCTTTGTTTTTTTAGAACGGGAATGTTTCTCTCGATCGAATATTTATTTTCTATTTGTATAACATGTATTATATTGAGTAAATGAAGTGTACCAGGCGACCTATGCATTACACATCATTATCTAGCCTGTGACTCAATGATAGAAAGAGATAAAAAATTTCGTGGATTGCAACGCAGACACAGACAGTTCGTAACGGTAATGAGGGTGACTATATAGCATGCAAAGTGTTGATTTCAGTCGTTCTTCCCCAAAACCCTGCGGAAGCATGTTTTCATCTATAAATCTGAGCGTAACATTAAAGTACTCGGAAAGCTAGTTTCATTTTTGAATTATAAGTATTATTAGTCCTTTTTTCATATGAACTGTTTCGATCCAAAGTTCAGAATTTACTGTAAAATCTTCGGTGTATTTGTTGATTGAATCAGTGCGGTTAATAACTAATTATGATTTTTCGTGAATACATGCACATGATGCAAGACATTTGTGTCAATGGTTTTCATTATTTATTAAAAAAAAACACAATAAAAGAAGACGATTTAGTCGATATATCAATTGAACCATTGGAATAGTCTTGAAGAGTGCAGAAAATAAAAAGTTTTGATATTATTGTTAATCGTTATGATTTTGTATAATGGTTTGAAAGTACATCTTTACACTTTATAACAAACTGCTTCTTATTTAAATCACGAGTTGAGTATGCATCATCACAATATTGTTAAGGCTATCGGTAGCAGTAGAAAGAATTGTTCGAAAAATTTATGGAAGATGTTCCGTATAACTGCTATATTAGTAGTCTGCTTATACCGTTATTTGTAAGGATGTTTATGCAGTTTTGGTATCCAGTATAAATTCGGCACATGAGTATCGTCCTTCTGAATGTTATTACCAAATTAGAGAAAGGCAAATTTGTGATTTAATAATAAAAAACAAACCTTTCGAATCAGGACAATGATGTACATTCATAAGTTGATTTACTGCATTTGCTGTGAATTTCAAGTTCTTTTGTTAAACGTCCCGAATAATGGTTTTGCATATGAAAATATTTTTTGTAAATTTGTCAACTCTAAATCATTTAAAGTCTATAAGATATGTAAATGAAATGACTTGTGAGTTAAACTCTTACCTTGTATTTTTCAATATAGATTAAACAAATGCAACTGACTACAAATGAGAATAAGGATTTTTCCATTTTGAACTTGAATAAATTAAATATCCTAAATAAATTCCTAATGGTTGGAGTTGACCGTTTAATGTTTTGTTTTCCAAAAAAAATTGCGATCAGGGTTCCTTAGATCTATTTCTTTTATTAAATTTTTTTTCCCCCTTTTTAACATCTTTTTACTCAAAAAATATAGATCTACAATAAAACAAATCTATGTAAAAAAATAAAGTGAATAACATATGACAAACACCAAGAAATCACAGAATAAGTTTGACACAAACAGTCGTGTAATTTTGTTTTGTTTTGTTTTTTTTTTTTTTTGCATTTTACAATTTCTTTTTATGTATTTCGAATTTTGCTGAAGATAATAGATGAGCAATAAATTTTAAGCGATAGTAGTTTATCGATGTTTAAAATTCATAAACATATTAACACGATAAAAATCAAGGTAGAAAAACAAACAAAACTGCAGCAAAAACTGATAGAACACACCACTTAATCGGTATGATGTTTATTTTTCCGTAAACAAAGTCTTAAAAACAAAAATAGTTGAATTATGTATTATGAACACTTTTATTGTTTTAAACAAAATAAAGCACGCGTCGTAAATGCTGTAGTTGCATACAAAATGTTAAAGAAAATTATTGCTTTGTTCAACAATTTATTGACTATTTTCTTTAAGGTGAAGCTTCTGCTACAACCTCAAGCCAAATCATAATTGCCACAAGGAAAATGAAGAAAGATTCTAGCGCTAGTTTTGATATAGGTACATACATTGTTTCAAAATCTGACTTTTCCAGCTTATAAATATCCTTCATTTACCTTCGTTTTGATGTATAACAGAGAGGCAAGAAATACCAAAGGGATAGTTAAACAAATAAGTCGAAAACAAGCTAACTATGCCATGGCAAATACGAAAACCAATCAAAAAGACTAACTAAGAAAACTAAATACTGAGCAATACGAACCCACCGAAACAGGTTGTTGTAAATATAAATCTATTATCGTTCAGCTTTACTTTTTATTTCATAAATACAAAAATGTATCAATGCATCTCAGAAATGAGACTTCCTAGGTTTATATACAATAAGGAGGTGTGCTATGATTGTCAATGACACAACGTTTATAGGAACCCTTTTTTTTCTAAATGCTATATTTGTATCGGATGTATGTGATATATAGTGTTCACATCCGTATCATATGTGTTGTCTGTCTGCGTTAGGTCCAGTTATTGGTGGCATTGCAGCTGCAGTATTACTAATATTTGTTTCGCTTGGTGTGATTATCTGCAAAAAAAGGTAAGCGTGATTTGTGCTATATTTTGTAAAGTGTTTTAATATTCGTGTGCATTTATTATTATACTATACATCGAAATTTTATATCGATAACTGTATCTACTTACTTTTTCATTTTAACGCTACTATAATTATTATGAAATTAACTTTATGGTATAGTACACACATTTTAACTGAACTGTATCATTTTTTTTAAACCAATGTAAACTCTAAGTACGTGTTGAGAATTCATTTATAAAAAAATCTTTAAATGACCGGTGTTAACTTTCTATTTAACATGTGGACAGTGTTGTAGTTCAATTAAGTACTTCCCTTGTTTAAACTGTCAAAAATGTCTTGATCATTTGTAAAAAGACTCTTTGGTGTATTTTGCAATTAATGGAGCATTGACCGTTCGTTAGCGGTACATATTTGATATATAAGTTAGTATATGATTCATAAGCATTTTAATGTATATGCCAAAAGTCAATGTTTTCAATGTCTGAAACCATTTATTTAAACGTGCATTCAAAGAGCTAGGATAAATCATGTACCCTATTATTTACGGATGTATCAATATCATTAAGATGTGCATCGTACGAAAAACAATAATTCAGTTAGTTATACACTGCGTATTAGCGTATTTCATAAATATATCTCTTGGTTATTCCTCTCAAATATAATCTTTAGAACTTAACAATTATTAAAAACAAATGTACAGGCAATAAACTCACAAACAACAAAGGACGATTACACCAGCTGCCAGACCTCTTTGGTTCGTGAGTTTTTTAAGTTGCCCAGGTGTTAGTTTATTTTGTAGTATTTTGTGACCTTGTTTGCCTTTTCGTTGTATTGAATTTCTTCCAAAGGTGCTGGCAGTTTCTCTCGACTTATGAGTTTTGATTGTCCTCTTGGTATCTTTTACCTCTTTTTTAGAATAAAATAGTGTTGTCAATTATATGTTTTAGAAGTATTGCTGTACAGCCAGTATAAAAGGTCATGAATTATCAGAACAATTACTAAATAATATAATAAAAATTTATATCTCACGTCGTAAAAACTAACGAACAGGTTAACATGTGAATGATTCAATTATCACTTCACAGAAATTCTTTACTCACTTTTACATCATTTTGTTTTTATTTTTATAGTATTTTGGTCTCAAATATCTAAGTAAAGAAACTATTTACTGTCCTTGTATTACATTTATACAGATAGTGTTTTATGGATTATTGTGCGGTAAGAGTTTGCTCAGTTAAAGGTCGCACGGTGACCTATTATTGCTTACATTCTGTATTTTCGTACGTCCACATTATTTGGATTTTTGTGGATCGTAGTCTCATTCGTAATTATACCAAATCTCCTTATTTTATATTGCATGTTTTTGGTTTTTTCCTTACCTACTACCTGTCAAAGCTTCGGTAACATCTAGTCCGCGCTTTGACAAAAACAAAGAATAATAAATGGCAAAACAGAAGTATCTGCCTGATGTTTTTAGGTACACTCTTTAGATGTTATTACAAGTGGTTGAATTCATAACGGTAGGTAGCTAATTGATAATTTTTTTTAAATGTCAGTGTCATTTTGCTTCAGATAGCTGTACATGGTATGGAGTTCTTTCTATCTGAACTTAATTGAATATATCTTATTAAGAGTTTTCTTGAATATGTTCACTTGGCATATGTTTCCAGACCATGTGGTTTATACAGTATCAGGTGATCAAGCCCACTTTGTTTTAAGTGTTTGCCCGAAAAGTTTTCGTTATGTTTTAGTATATGTAAGAGAATGATAATCCCTTTCTTCATGATAAAGTACGAGCGTTAGCGAGTACTTATCATGAAGTAAGGGATTATCATTCTCTTACAAACTTAGAATATTGTAAAGTGCTCAAGGCTTAAATGATCTCTTGATTGGTTGTTTTTAAGAATTAGTTTCATTGTCAGTGCAATGTTTGTAATTGATGCATGACTTCCTTTTTAGACATGATTTCATTTATGGATTAGTTTTAGTGATGTAAGGACCTTCTTATAATTTTGGAAAATATAATAAATTATGTTTTATACATTAAATGACACAACAGTACAATGAAATGGTAAGAAATGTTTCCTGATTGTGAGTATGAATGTAAATCATGTAATATTTTAGCGAGGAATTATCTTTTTGTTTATTTTCACTTCAAATCAATAAATTCAAAATTTGACAGCCAATATTTTAGTCCAGTCCTTTACATCAAATACTACTTCATTATGTCAGGGAAATGTTCAAATATACTACCTTTAAAATAATTTGAAATTTATTCAAAAGTTAAACTAAATTCCTTTTTTGTAGAATTTTATCAGAATATTGGAAATTACTATTCTCACCAACCGCGGATCCAGTAACTAATGTTACTGCACCAGTAAACTTCATCTAATTTTGATTTTTTTTTTTTTTTTTTTTCAAAATTTCACAAATTCTTTCAAGCTGATAAATGTGCTTCGGGGCATTTGTAACTCATTTATAGAAACTCTTTGTTTTAAACTGTAAGTAGGCCTAAACAATCCCTTACTAAGAACATGATTTCATTCATTCTTCACAATTAAGAAACACCAAATCCTACAATTTCATTGGTCGAGAGCACTTTGCTATATTCTAAATGGACTTTGAAGAAATAAAATGGAATCATTTTGGTTTCTAGATCTGACCTTTTATGATATCTGGAACATATAGTCCTTGTTTACTCATATTATTTTTGGGTGATGAATCAAGTATCCACTAATTATTTGTAACATATTGATACAAGACAGGAACTAGTACTTATGGTGCAAGTTTTATTCTTCCCTCCATGCATACTAATATACTTGGAGTGAAGAATAATATAAGCCTTTATCAACTGATTTTTATAGGTCTAATGTTGTACTGTTGCATCACTTTCCCAGGTAAGGGGAGGGTTGGGCGCCCGCTAACAATGTTTTAACTTGGCCGCATTCTGTATATTCCTGTCCGAAGTCAGGAGCCTGTATTTCAGTGGTTGTCGTTTGTTGCTGTGTTACATATTTGTTTTTCGTTCATCATTTTGTACTTAATATTAGGCCGTTAGTTTTCTCGTTTGAACTGTTTTACATTTGTCATTTCGGGGCCTTTTATAGCTGACCATGCGGTATGGGCTTTGCTCATTGTTGAAGGCCGTACGGTGACCTATAGTTTTTAATTTCTGTGTCATTTGGTCGCTTGTGAAGAGTTGTCTCATTGGCAATCATACCACATCTTTTTTTTATAATATGTTTATCCCTTAAAATAAAATTCAATATTTTTTTCAGTCAATAATGCAGTTCGAGGAGTACCAGAGAGAACTTCCTACTTTTTACTTGTTATCTCTATTATCTCTTGTTTTAGACATAGAAATTAAATTTCTTATTTGGTAACTTTTCACTGTTTGCACAGATATAAACAAATTTAAATGATGTTTTCAGGTCATGTGGATTTTTCAAAACGACCAGTATGGATAAACAAGAAGTCCCTTTTTCAACAGTAGTCTATGAGCATTCACAAAATCAAGAAGTGAGAACAAGTGTGACACCGACATCTAACGAATCATATGGCTTAGCTTCAATCAATTCTGTCCACACATATGCAGTCGTCAACAAAATCAGAAAAACGGATTCAAAATTACAAATAGCTGACGAAACTTACACTAAAACATCATGCGGAGAATATGATCGATTAAACGGGGTATCAAAACAGCGAACAGATTCAAAGGAAAATTTATATGACAGCCATGCAGGGATTCGAAATGAAAATGACCCAACATACGACAGTTCCAACCATGGAGGAAGAAAACTTCAATTTGATAACGATGTTTATGATCATACAGACACAGTATCGACGGACGTAAGTGACTACGGTTATTCGTCAACTCTCAAATCAGAAACTAGAAACGAAAATGATGTATATTAAAAAAACCGTCTAGCGGCAACATTTAACTTCCAGAAAAGAATACTGGTAATGCAGTACTCAGGAATATGAACACAATAATATATTTAATGATATAGATTTGCTTGTAACCCTGATTTCAAGAAGTGACAGATTTAGTAGATTTATATCTTATCCAGGTTAAGTGTGCTCTTTATATTAACCAGGCATGACCTTACAGTCATCTTATATATTTCATCGTCATCATAACTAGTTTAAAGCAATTCAGATTCAGAAATTGAATAGTCATTATTTTCATTATTTTAAATACAATGTTAATTCTAAGATACTTTAGGCTGAAACAACTCAGAGCAAGGTAATTTATTTTTTCTATCATGTTATTTTTTAATAGACATATCCTAAACTGCTTAAGATTTGTCTGTAATTTGACTATATAACTTACTTTTCACTTTATAGCAGTATTACTAAAAAATAAATATAAACAGAACTTGAACTTGAACAGAAACCAACCTTTTTCGTGAAGAACAAACAGTCAGCATTTAATTCTTCAAATTTACAATTTCGAATAAGTTTGATTTTAAGACACTGGAGTTTTCCTAAATATCGAAAAAATAACACACTTGCAATTGCTTATTAAGCTCTAATATAAGATATAAGATAAGATAAGAAAACATTCAAACCACAACTAACACTTCGTTGTAGATAAAACTTTTCAAAAGACATGGACAAACATTGTTTATATATACCTAGAGTGAAATGACTTTCTTTTGATATAACCCGAAAGATACCAAGTTTCAATGACATGTGTTTCGAGGTATACAATAATGATATGTGTAATGTCATAATTATAACCCTGTTGAAAAATTTTGTTATCCTATTTAAACATACTTAAGCCATGTACATTTGTAGCTCCAAACGTTTATGCATTCCCGATTTTTAAATGTTAAGGTCTGGATCAATACAAACTACGACCAAGAGGTTATTTGCTAATTCTCAGATAAATGTAGGCTTAATCAACTCTATGATTTACTTTCCAGCATGCTAATGTTTTAACACACATATCCTTAGGATTTGTCTGTAATTTAACAATATTACCTATTTTTCACTTTATGACGGTAATTCTAACAAATAAATATACACATAACTTGAATAAGAAATTATTCTTTTTCGTAAAGAACGAACAGGAAGCATTTAATTCTGCATTAATGTACACTTTCGAATAAGTCTGATCTAGAGACAATTGAGGCGTGGCTCGGTACTTATACATCCCGCCATTGTGACATTATGCTATGGTAATTTTTTGTATTCTTGTCTTTCATTTTTGCTTATGTGTTTTGTCTATATGGCTTTTTGTTTTTCATTTTTGACATATTTGTTTGTTTTTTACTGCTCAGAGTGTGAAAAGACCATATTTTGTGCTCGACCTGTAAGTCCAGCACAGATTTTACATGACAAGACTCGACATAATCTCGACAGTACTTAACTGTACTCGACTCTGGTCTCGACCTTACGTAATAAGTCTGATTCAGTACTCGAAAACCTTGGTATAGTCTGATATGGTCTTGACAAATGCTTGACCAGTCTCGGCCAGTCTCGACCAGTCTGGACTTGTCTTGACCTGTCTCGACCTGTCTAGACTCAGTCTTAACCTTTAAATTTAGTCTCGACTGATCTGAATCAGCCCATCTAACTCAACTATATATTGATCTTACAAAATTCCAGGTTATTTGGTAGATTGGTTCATTGCTGTCAAATTTAAAGATTTAATTAATAGGTAACACAAGCTAGAATTTTCTGTTTTGATTATATTCAGATAGTCACCTTTAATTTTTTCTATAACTTTTTCAAATCAACTTGGATTTTCATCAAATTTTAAAGCTACCTCAATTATACATTGATCTTAGAGAATGCCAGGTTGTTTGGTAGTTTGGTTTATTGCTGTCAACTTTAAGGATTTGACTAATAGTTAAAAAAAAGATAGAATTCAGATAATCACCTTTAAAATGTTTTATTACTTTTTCAAATCAACTTGGCTTTTTATCCAAGAGACAAAAGCACAGCATCATCCAATTATAAGGTAAACATATACTGACTTGTATTTTTCATAAACGGTAACCATTCATTTGTTTCTTGTTCATGCATTTACAGGAACATTTGTGTGTAGACTAGACAGTGATCTCCTTCGGGTGTAGTTATTCCTAATCGCAAAAAAAAAAGAATATTCCACTATAATGTTATCGATAAATAACGATACACATCCTGCAATTAGTTGCAATTTTTTCTCGGTTTACGAGTCAGGTAAGTTTTCCTTGTCGTATAACACAACTTTAAAGATGCATTTTCTATAACGCAATATTTATTCTTGATTTTGCCAGATAAAAAGTTAAAGAAAAGTTCTTTTTCACTATATGATGCATAAACATGTGAATAAATTAGGTAAACCGTATAAATTTGCATTGACGTTAAAAACTTGACTACACGTTCTCTAGATAGGTAAGTACTGCAATTTCTACATCCCCACAAAGTAAAGGATTTCTTTATTACACAGATTATTTCGAAAATGAGGATGTATGAAGCAATTAATACCACGTTGTAAACATAGTTACGTACTAGTACACTTGGTACGATCAAAAACTTGGTGAAATTGTTCAAATAAGGCCTTTGAAAATTGTGGAATTAATTTCTTTTGAGTGTCAATAATTTGTTGGACGTACTTGATAACTTGCAAGCTTATATTGGTGATCTTTTCAAAGTTTTGATTTTTCAACCCTATATAACACTTTGCCTCATAATCTTATTAAGAAAAAAATCACACACCTAATGAAATGAGCATTTAAAAAAGTCAGAATGCAAATGTATATGTTCAAACTCTTTTATGTATTCTTTTTGTAACAACAAACAAAAGAAGTATGTCCTGACTCGATACTATGACTTTCCTTGAATTCCTTGACTATGGGGTGGGGATTCCGTATATCGTCAAGTAATCGGAATTCCAATGGAAACTAACTGTGCACCACTTATTGCGGAACACTTTCTGTATTATTATAAGTTACAATTTATGACTAACATCAACAAAAAACCATCAAAACAACATCTGATACAAAAACTTAACACTTTCAGATATTTGGTAGATATATTGGCTCTCAATAATGACGACTTCAGTATGTACACTAAAGAGATTTATCCTGCTGAACTGACTTTGAATAAAGCTAATATTAACAATGAACACTTCACTTTCCTGGATCTTGATATCTATTTCTTCAACAGGAGGCTTAATACCAAAATTTATGATAGAAGAATTAATTTTTCATTTCCTATTGTTAATTATCCATTTCTAGATGGTGACTTTCCCTTGTCACCATCGTATGGTGTTTAATGGTGTTTATGTATCTCAACGTTTTCGATTCGCTCGTGTATGTAACAACGTATTGGATTTTAACGAAACAAATCTCTGTTTTACTGAAAAATTATTACACCAATGTTTTCGATATCACAAACTAGTTAAAACATTTACTAAATTTAATCATCGATACAAGGACATAATTCGTAAATATAAATTAACATGCAGATATCTTATACGTTCAGGTATTTCACATACAATCTTTTATATATGGTAATATTCTATACAAAGCACAAAAATGTCGGCATTCACCTCGAAAGCTAACCAAACCTTTAAACAGACTTATTCAGAAGGGATATAGTTACGATACTGTTGTCAGGTCAATAAAGATGGCATATATTTTGGAATTATTATTGATTCACTCATAGTGTCTTTGCATCGGATATAAACACATCTATTCTTAAACCAGTTGCTGGCATGATACGGGTTATGTTCTTCTGGTATAATTTATGATGGTATGATACTAATCTCCTAAAGGGAGAAATTGTGCTTGATTTTTATATGATGAAGACATAATCTTTCAATAAGTTTAAATGAGGTCTGGAGCTGGCCTGTCAGTAACTTTTTGTAATCCTTTGTTAATTTATGTATCATTTTGCCTAGTTTCTTTTGTTACCTATTCTGACATCGGACTCGGACTTCTTTTAAATTGAGTTTTCCTTTGCGTATTGATGTGTGTTTGTTTATTCAATATTGGCTACAGGTATATGAGAGGGTTGAGATCTCACAAAACATGTTTAACCCCGCCGCATTTTTGCGCCTGTCCCAAGTCAGGAGCCTTTGACATTTGTTAGTTTTGTATGTTTTTTAAATTTTAGTTCATTTATATGTTTTGGAGTTTAATGTGACGTCCATTGTCACTGAACTAGTACAAATTTTTGTTTAGGGGCCAACTGAAGTCCGCCTCTGGTTGCGGGATTTTCTCGCTGCTTTGAAGACCCATAAGTGGCCTTCGGCTGTTTTCTGTCCTTCGGTCGAGATGTTGTCTCTTTGACACATTCCCCATTTCAATTCTCAATTTCAAAGTAAATTTGTATAAATGTCAGCGAGGGAGCCTCCATGCATTAGAATAAAACATACATCAACAAAAGGATTACAGAATGCTTATATACATACGCAAAACAAAGCCATATATCAAGTTCTAAAACTAATGATAAGATTTTTGTGACCAAAAAAACCTGGCCAATAATATTAAATTCTTTCATTAAAAAAACTGGAAACATCAAAATCAAAAACGATTCATTGAGAAAATCATAATTATATAATGCCAATTTCTACAACTGCTGTTATGACATTTACAATAATAAACGCGTAGTTAAATAGATTTTGTAATAATTTCCCTTTTTTCAACATTTATTCATAGGAATTCGCTCATGGATTTATTTCAATCGACTTAATAGCGACATATATAGTATATATATTGTTGAAATGGCTTCAGCTTCAATCTTTTTTTTTTTTTTCGTCAAATAGAAATAAATACTACTCAAAACAGTGATGATATGAGAATGTTTTATACATCATTTATTTTGTAAATAATAAATAATAAAACAGCATACTAACATTGCACCAAACTATCCTTTTTTATCACTTAGTGTGTATACCATGTCTCACTTAAGGCGTCTTAATCAGATAAAATATATCTGTAAATCATGAACATGTGTGAACAATACCATGTACTATAAAAAAAAACGATGTATGATTGCCAATGACACAACTCTTCACAATTGACCAAATGACATAGAAAGTAACAACTATAGGTCACCGTACGGCCTACAACAATGTGAAAAGCCCATACCACATAGTAAGCTTTAAAAGGCACCGAAATGAAAAATGTAAAACAATTCAAACGAGAAAACTAACGACCTAATTTATGTACAAAAAAATGAACGAAAAACAAATATGTAACACAACAACAAACGACAACCACTGAATTACATGCTTCTGACTTGGGACAGGCACATACAGAATAAAGTGGTGCTAAACATGTTAGCGGGCGCCCAACCCTCCCCTAACCTGGGACAATGATGTAACAGTACAACATATGAAAAACTATATAAATCAGTTGAAAAAGGCTTAACGCATTAGATGGATAC